TGAGGGTGAAGTGGATCTGCAGGGCGATGTCACACTCGAACTCCTCGTCCATGGCCAGGACGCAGAAAGACACGCTGTCCGGGTCACTGTGGAGGCACAACAAAGAACAGAACCCGTTAGACTCCAAACACAACACGATCCAAAGTGTCCAAACTAGCGTGAATGTAATCAGCTTGATATCAGTGTTTCATACTTACACATTCATAACTTTTGCGCATTCGTAGACCCCCACGGTGAGGGAGTCGTTGTCCTTGGCGGCCTCCAGCACCTCCTCCAGGGCTGTACCGGTGCACTGAGCGCGCTCAGTGGGTTTTTGGATCAGAACTTCTTCCAGAGTCATGATGAAGATATTCCGCAGTTTTAAGGGAGCTTCAGAGAGTTTGATCAGAGAGTAAATCCGCGAGAGAGCAGAGTGCCTTCAGACCTGCGCCCTGCCTCTTTTATACCCTGCAGCTCGTGCGGCGCAGTGAAAGCGCTGCGCCCTGATTGGCTGCGGCTGAATGGTGTATTGGTATGATAATGCTATTGTCGCACTCCGGCTCGTGGCAGATTGATGGGGGTCATCGAGCCACGCACGCTCCCCCTCTGCACACAGAAAGCCTCCAACTAAAAATAGCTCGATTTAAAAAACAAAAAAAGTTTGATTAGTCTGCAGCAGTTTCGTGCAAAGCAACTAAAACGTGAATCTGACTGCACACATGCATCCTGCGTTTTATTTTTTATTTTTTGGCACTTTTGCATGCATTCAGAAAAAAACTTGCAAGAAATTCTGTACGCAGCTAAAACTGAAAAAGTGCACACACGCCTCTTTTTGCTGCGGTTGCAAACGTTAAACCTAATCTGAAACCTTCAAACTTCACTGTGAACTCGCCTCATAGTAAACTCTCAATGCTTTTTCGTTCATTTTTTAACTTTTGCTGATACAATTTCAGAAACAACATGGAGAAAGTGTAAAAGCTCCCCTCCCCCTGCAGCAGCAGCAGCAGCAGCAGAGAAAGGGCAGGTGGATGATGCCATCTGTGGACTAGAAGCTGGCCATAAAAACGGCCTCATTGTGCGCACAGAAGCCCCTCTATTATCACGGCCCCCCATACAAATGCAAATGAGCAGCGCGTGCCAGAACGCTGTGCGTGCTGCGCAATCTGCACTGCTGGCCCATGCGGACCACGTGGCCATCAGCTGTCCAGAAAATCCTTGCTGAGTTTTTTTTTATTTATTTACTCTGGGGAGTTCAGGAGGCACACGAACCGAATTCTATAGGAGGAGCTGTCCAACTTTGTTGCACTGCTGTTTGGTATCTGGTGCATGGAGCCAGTAAATGTGTTCATCTGTGGTTTAAACTTTCTTTTTATATATGCACAGCCAAACTTTTACACACAACTCATCTGTTCTGCAGATGAAGGAGTTTCTACATGACAAATCGTGCTTATTTGGTCATATTTAGTAAAGATCCACAACACGTGTCTTTCTGTAGCTTTAAATAAACCAACATCTGACAACTTCCCATGATGTATCCATAAGTTTAAACATGACGAAACTTTTACGCACAGTTCTGTTTCAACCATTTCTCAAAGTGTTTCTACACAACAGAATGTGTTTATTTGGTCATATTTAGTCAAGATCCACCAAATGTCTTAAATAAAAACCTGCATCTGACTGCTTTCCATTATTTCTCCATAACTTTAACCCTGACGACACTTTTACGCACGCCTCTGTTTCACTTTGTTTCAAAAATGGAGCAGTTCCTCTCCAACAATTCGTGCTTATTTGGAGCAATTTCATCTGCATAATAATCCAAAACACATCTCGCATCAGGTCAGGCCTGCTGCCACTGCTGCGTAAATAGAGGAGGGGGGCTGGAGCTGAGAGGCGGTGCAGGAGACACAGGTTGGCGGTGATTGATTCAGCGCTATTGTTCTGCGGATGGGAGAGCGGCAGATGGAGAACTGTCGCTATGAAGGGACCCCCCACCCCTCCTCTCCTCTCTCCTAAACCCAGGTCAACCTCGACCCCAGGGCGCGCCGAGCTTTTGTGTGCAAGTCTCCACATTCGCCAGTCTGTTGTCTGAGTTTTGATTAAATTTGAATGCCAAAGTGGAGAGCTTACGGTCCAAACTTTCACAATGAAAAGTGTTATCTCCTGAAAAAATACAAAAAAGAGATGTCAGGCGTGTAAAGGCAGATAAAAATCACTTTCAGTTTGAGATGTAAACACCTGCAAGAATGCTGGACGTGTTTTCAACAACAGAACGCTTATCTGGACATTATTGCAGCAACAGTTTCAGCTGTTTACATCCAGATCGCTTTCAGTGTTTCACGCACATCAGCTGGCCGACAGGCGTAATTTTGGCCCAAAGTGTGATTCGGATCCAGCTGATAGAGGCTCCGGCTCTGATCTATTTTAGGACGGATCAACTTGCATGACCACGGGGCAGGCGCGTGCAAATCGATACGGACCTATTGTTGCTGCAGCACATCTGCCAGACGGAGGCCTCCCCGGCGGTGCGCGACAGGTGTTGCTGGTTAAAGCTCTTTTCTGGTGACCTGCGGCGACTCGGCAGAGCTCAGCCTCTGCGCGATAATGGAAAGCGTTTAAAGCTGCCAGATAAGTCGAGCTTTTTCCTCCAGCTATCTGGCTTCTAGTGCGCAAAAATGACTCATATTTAAGTAAAAATGCGCACATTTTAAAAGATAAAGTGCAATAAGTTGTCTATAGATGTTTTTTTTAATGATTAATAAGTTAATATTGGAACAACAAATGCCAAAACACACCAGAACTGAAGCCTGCTATACCTGAACTTCTGCATTTTGCCTGTTTTTGTTTTTTCCAAACATCATATTTGCAGCTGAATGACAAACACGCTCAGCAGGTGCTGCCTGACTCTCTCTTTGTCCGGCCTCCCCTCAACTTCTCTCCCCTCCCCTCGGGACAGATGGTATCTCTCGGTTGCTATGGACACCGATGCAGACACACAGATAAAGCATGCAGGCATCTCCAGATGCCACGCGCCTCGAGTGAGCACCGTCTTTACGCATGCAAAGCAGCGGCGCGTGCCACTGCTTAATCTACAACAAGAGTTCAAACTGTGAAATTGGTCACGAGTCTTAAAAAAAAAGTCCTGTCTGACATCCAGTACAGGTGGAACAGTGCAAAGCTTCACCTATACTGGCGAAAAGACAGGATAAGCTGCAGGTTTTCCTACTTTCTAACACTAAATGTAGATTTTTATAGGTTGTAACAGATAGAACTGGTTCTTATTGTGTCAGGATCTGGAATATTAAGCTTCTGCAAACATTGTATGACTTCCTAAAGGCCCAAGTTTAGCTTCTTAATTACAAACCAGGTGTGTTGGACACACCTGCTGCACTTATTTTTGATATTTTTACTTGCATTAACATTCAGAGGTCAAACATCAGCCTCAGTTTTTAAGTAATGTCAAAATAAAGCACGACAAAGTCAGAATGTCAACCCAGACATGAGCAGGTTTGACAAAGAAATGGTCGAGATAAGACTTTAACCCTTAACAATCAGAAAGTAAAATTATATTCAAACTTTTATTTGGTGGGTTTTTGTCAAACAGAAGAAAAAAGAAACCTCTGCAGCAGTTCTTTCTTTGGCTCCAGTATATTTGAGGTGAAACCTTCAGTTTTCTTTCCATATTGTTTCAAAGTCATAAATGTTCCTTTTTTAACACCAGATCAGTCTGACACTGACGTCCACTCATTTCTGCACAACATGAAACTAAACCAACAAACTTGTTTCATTTGTGCATTCAGCTCATTTTTGTCGGAGTTAAAGTTGTTGAAATTAAAACCAAAGTTGGTTTAAATCTATTTAATTCTAAGCTGTGTTCCCTCATAACATCAAGTTAAAACAGACTCAGTGAATGTGTGGAAGTCAGTGGACGAGTTGGCCGATACGTTTGTTAATGGGACTTTTAGTGACGGAGGAGAGGAAGCTGTGGCTCGTTTTCATGATTTTACTGCAGCTTCTTTCTGCAGCCATTGATTTCTATTCATCTCCTTCAGCAAGTTGCTCCAGTGGTGCAATACGTCAGCTGGCTGAAGTTACACCGTCATGGCACGGTGGGGAACTTTAAGATTCACTTTTTTAAAGTTGTTTAATAAGCAGATTTATGTAAATATGAATTATCTTGTTGGGATAATGTGAGCTGACAAACTCTGAAGCTTCACACAGAACATAAGTGGCTGCATTGATCGTCAAAAAGTTCAGTCTTAAAAGTTCTCCAGCACACTGTTTGTGCTGTAAATATCCAGCTGTGTCATCCTCCAGCACTCTGAGTGGGAGTCGCCGGGTGTCTAATCCCTCCAGAACTTTGAGGACTTGGACGACAGCAGCCTGATCTCCTTGTGTGGCTTCATTATTCCTGATCAGCTCAAAGAATCATTTAAAGGTCACAGAGTTTCTACTTCTGATCCTTTCAACTGCCCCCGACTTTCTAAGACTTTTCTATGGGCACGCGTCCCTGAGGGCGGGGAGGGGGCTGCCGGCCTGTCGTGGCCATTGTGCTCCCAGCAGCCAATGGGAGGCCGAGCGTGTGCCGGGTCTGCCGTATAAATGCTGGCAGACTTCACTGGAAGCAGCACAAACTCTCCTCTCTGGACTTTACTGACCACTTCTAGCTGATTCGACATGCAGTCTCCTGGAAAATCTCTGAAGGAAGCTCTGCTGTGCGCTCAGAACGAAGACCGGCTCACTGTTGGAGTCTACGAGAGCGCCAAGATCATGACTGAGTAAGTAAATTCAACTTTGATGTGACTTCAGTGTCCTCTCAGGAGATGTAACTCGATGCAGCAGCTAACAGGACTCTGGTTTGTCCACAGTGACCTGGACAGCGTGTCTTTCTGCGTCCTGGCCATGGACGAGGAGTTCGAGTGTGACATCGCCCTGCAGATCCACTTCACCCTCATCCAGTCCTTCTGCTTCGACAACGACATCAGCATCGTCAGAGTGAGCGACATGCAGCGTCTGGCTGAGATCGTTGGAGACAAGGCGGAGCAGCTGGAAGATGCGCACTGCGTCCTCATCACGGTACGTAGAGCTCAGCAGATGCCAGAGCCTTTTGGAGCGTTTTGAGGTTTTAAATGTGGTGCTTTGTTGTAAAGAAACATGTGACTAAACCTTCTTCCTCTTGTTTTGTGAACAGAACCCTGCTGAAGGTTCTTGGGAGGATCCATCTCTGGAGAAGCTGCACCTGTTCTGTGAGGAGAGCCGGCGTCTGAACGACTGGGTTCCTGAGATCAGCCTCCCCGAGCGTTGACGCGCCTCTCAGGGCTCCTCACTTTGCTGAAGATGCTTGAAGAAGCTTCTTTTCTGGAAATAGTCATCCTGACGACCAGGACGACCCTGTTTCTGCTCATCCCTGGACACTCCTGAGGAGGATTCCCGTCCAGGCAGCACGGCGCCGGCCCGAGGTGGCCCCCCGTGAACCGTCGCCTCTCGTCCCGTCCATGCCAAGATGACTCTCATTCTTTGTGTGAATGAGGTCGGGCATGCCACGAGAGCGACGCATCGACCCTCATTCTTTGTGCGGATGAGGTTTGGAGAGGAAGGAGAAGCGAGTTCTGCGTCCTGTGGTTCTCCACAGAGCAAATGTCGCACGTCCAAGCACGCGCAGTAGGAGAAGAAGCGGTGCTGAGGAAGAGGCCTTGTTAAAAAGGGACTTTTTAAAGGTGTCCTCTTCACGCTGAGCAACAGCACCACCGTTGCACGTCAGCGCAAATGTTTCCCACTTTCCAGAATTGTCTTAATTCTCTAAAGGTTTCACTTTAGAAATTTAACGATGACAAAAAAATATATAACTTAAAAACTTGAGAAAAAAAAATGTCTGTTCTCTAAAGGTTTCACTTTAGAAGATTAACAAAGACATAAACATTCTTTGAAGAAATATCTGAAGGTTTCACTTCAAATATTTATAACTAAAAAAAAAACTTACTAAAAGTGTTCAGATAATAAACTGTAAACTGATTTTGAACCTTGAAGTGTGAAACAAATGGAAAAAGAGAAACAAGAAATGTAAACGTAGAACTTTCTGAAGGAACTTTTTCTGCAGCTTTTTGTCAAATGACGTCGTTTGTTTGCTGCATATTTACTGTTTGTAGAATTAATGATTATAAATAAAACGTTTGAATTCAGTTTTTCTCACCGACTGTTCTTTGACCTTTTTTGTCTGAAGATGTGGAACTTTTCTGTTGGTTTTTGGTTCTTTTTCTGGAGATTTTCTGCCAAAACCTTCTGTACAAATCCAGCAGCAAACATCAGCTCAGTGAACTTTAACAGTTTCACATCTTTGCTTCATTCCTCACACGAAGAAACAACAGAAAACATTCAATCAGCAAACGGCTGAAACGTGAGCAGCGAAATGTTCCACTGTGCAGCTGCATGAAGAGTTTTATATCTAGAACATCAATCTCTTGCAGAGTCTTTGATAAGAAGATCAATACTGCTCTTATCTCTTTGCACCAGTGGTTCCCAACCTGGGGGTCTGCACCCACTCAGGGGGTCACTAGATAAATATGAGGGGTCACAAGACGGATCAGGAACATTAAAACTGAAAAAAAGCAAATTATGATGATTTAAGTGTTTCAGGATTTCTTCTAAACACAGTTTGAAATTTGTCTTCAAAATAAAAGTAGTTCAACATGCTTTGGTGTCAACATTCAGGCCTGTTTTGAAGATAAAGATAAAGTTTATTGATGCCACAGTGGGGAAAGCTCACCGTTACAACAGCTCCAAAGGAAAACGTGTAAAGCAGAATAATTTAGAAACACCCTGTGCAAATTGGAAGAAAGAGAAACAGAAACACATCATGCAAGACTTGCAAGTGAAGAAACATTATACACAGAAGAATTGTTTTTAAGAAGACTACACACACAAGATGAGGTAGTAACGGTTATTGCACAGAGTGGAATGGGTCTGCAGCAGTAACAGAGGTGCTCGTGGAGTTTATAATGCAGCGTTGTACAGTCTGACTGATGTTGGGATAAAAGAACCTGTTAAGCTTATTTATGTGCAGCTGTAACATCAGACAGGTCTGTAGCCATGTTTTTAGTCTATATGAGATTATATTCTGTTGAATTGGGAACATTTAAAGAGCTGCGACATGCAAAACTGTAGATAAACTGAGTTTATCTTAGCTATGAAATGTTCTTTTTCTGCAGAATATTGACTCACGTTGCAGCAGCTCATGTCAAATAAACAAGAAACCTGTTTTTTTATTTTAAGTTTTTTAACTTTAGTGGCTCATTTAACATCTGGACTCATTCAAAACAAAAGTAATGAAGGTTTTACGTAGTGAGAGTTACTGTCAATAATAACGTGACCTGATAAAGGTAAATGGGAAATGTTTCTGTGACGTCTTCATCATGTTGATTTTTTTTCCACATTTTACGATTTCAGAATAAAAAAGCAGAAGACGTCCTGCATGGTCTTAAACCTGCTCTCAGGCAGATATCACAGCATGTAAAGGCTTTTAGTAGCAGCTCAGTGTCCTTCACTTCTTCCTGTTGAAGGTTTTCACACATTCTTCCTGCAACCAGCTTCTTGTTCTGACAGATTCTTGGCATTTTTGCCTGAACTGCTCCTTTTAAGCTCCGTCCACAGAGTTTGAAGCTGTTTAGGTCCTTCAGCTTCGTCCACTGTGGACTTTGAGGTGTTTGTGTTGTTCCATCCACTTGTGGGGAAAATAGAAAATGCAAATTGAGCCTGTTTTCATGTTTCTATGACCTGCTTCAGGGTGAATGAACTGGGCTGTCAGAAGATGCTGCTACGAGCTACATGATGCTAACACGACTTTATAGAGGAGAAAAACAATAAGGAGTCTTTAGGATCTGTTTTAAATCAGGTGCATTGTAGTTATTCTTTCATGTTGACCATGTTTCACGTGGTCAGGAGACAAAGACAACGAAAGAGGGAAAAAGTTATTGATTTATCATTTAGCTTAAACTACTCACAAGTCAAAACCACCTCAAGTGGTGAAAAACTGTTTGTTTTGCAAACTTATGGAAGCTTTATCAAGTTTTTGTATTTCCACCAAACTTTTCCAACACCATACTTCACTCTGCACGTGAAGCAAATAATGGAAACATGACTTAAAGTTGCCAAATCTAGCAGGGCTTTAGCTTAGCTTAGCTTAGCTTAGCTTAGCTTAACTTAGCACAAGGACATGAAATAGGTTCTGGTCTATAAAACTAGTAACAAAAACCATCTAACAGCACCTTTAAAGCTCTTTAATTAACACACTACATCTTGTTATATGTCTGCACAACAAATAAAATGTCAGTTTGTGCAATTCTGGCTACGCTAACTACCCGCTAGCATTAGATAATGATACACTTATTTAAAAAAAAAAGAGGAAAGTTTTACACCTAATCCTGAGCATAACAAGGGTTTCTGCCTTCAGAAACCAAACTGGTGGCTGCTTCTGCAACTCTAGTAAACTTTTAACCTGAAAATACGGTACAATAAGGTCTTGGTCATAAAGAAGTTTGGACGTGAGAAGCAGGATTTTAAATTCTATTCTGGATTTTACAGGGAGCCAATGAAGAGACGCCAACATGGGAGAAATGTCATCGTGATGAGGTTACTGGTTCCTGTCAGAACTCTGGCTGCAGCATTTACTATCAGCTGGAGGTTTTTAAGAGAATTAAGGATATTAAGGAGCTGAAATAGTCGAGCCTTGAAGTTATAAATGCATGGACTAGTTTCTCAGCATCACACGATGTTACGCAGGTGAGTGAAGGTCGTCCTACAGACTTGTTTCATGGATGAGGTCAAAAATAAGACCAAGGCTAAGGAAATGGCATCCAGAGTAAATTCTAAATAAACAGAAGGTTCTGAGATGTTCAGGGCCAAATGCAATAAGTTCAGCTTTGTTCACATTCAGAAGAGGAAGATCACAGACCATCCAGACCTTTATGTTCTTGCTTGTAAACGCTCAAAGCTGAAGAACAGCGAACCTGTCAAACAGCAGCAGAACGCTGGTGTTTGTGCTTCACGACGTTCTTTGTGCAAACACAGAAAGGCTGCAGATTAATGGAGGTGATCTTTTGCTCCTGGCACACGTTGCGTTTTCTTTTCCTTCTCTAATTTGCAATTCAGACCCTCGGAGGGGCTTTTGTGTGTTTGGACTCAAACTCTGAAGTCGCTCTGACCTGCGTGTTGCCGTCGCTGGGAGCTATTGTGGAGTCGACTGCTGCTGCCTCCCCCTCAAAACCCCACAGTGACAGCACAACACACACTGAATGAACACAATGAAAGTGCTTAAAGTGTCCATTGATTTGTATTCTACTATTATCAAGTAATCGCTTCCATGCAAAAAGAACAACTTTAAAGAAGCTGTTCTGTTTGCGTTTTGCAAAGTTTAAAACAATAATATTCAGAAGTCTGCTGGATTTAAAGTGAAACCTCAAAACACAACAGCGACCATAAAGCACGGCGGTGGTACCATCATGCTCTGGGGCTGTTCTGCACACAGCATCACTTCCTGCTCTTTCCAACTTCAATGTTGCACCAGAATTCAATCGAAACTGATCCAAGAAGAAGAAAAATCGTTCATCTAAACTGCGCTGGAAGTCGCTTCATCACTTTCTGTGTTGCACGCTCACATATGCACACCCACAAAGCCTTTGTGTCGCAAAAAAGAAAAGAAAAAACCGGACCAGCTGAAATGCAATCACCCCTTTAAATCTCCACGGCAACCACAACCCAGCTCTCACCCCATCTGCTGTTCAATTTAATGACGAGGAGAAAGGGAGTGAGGAGGAGGAGGAGGAGGAGGAGGAGGAGGCGCTCGGCTGGCACAAGCCTGCTGCCATTCATCCACATCCATCCATTCACAGACCAACAACAACAACAACAACAGTCAGCAGAAACACAACTCAAGTCACAACACATCCACAGCGAGTCGTCTTTTACAGGAATAGTTTTACATTTTTTGGGGACACGTGCGTTCACTTTCTTGTAGCCAGCTGTGAGCAGATCTGCATCCAGAACCCGGTCGGTGAGGAAACGGGTTCAACAATCTACCTGCGGTCGCCTCTACAAGGTGCAGCTTCTCTCTGAACCCTGACCAACCTCAGCTGCCCTCTGCGTCAACCCCCGGCCTCTAAGAGCTCCGCCGCCAACACATGCTGCTTCTCAAGTGTCCTTTCAGCATAAAAGCTTCCTTCTCCGCCTCCCAGAGTCCTTTCTGCGCTGGAGAGCGGCAGCAGATGGTGACGACGGGCTGCAGGCGGAGCGTGTGCCTCTGTGTTTTGGTTGAGCAGTTGCCTAGGATACGGGCATCTCAAATCCATTTTTCATCTCCATTTCTTTGCTTCTTGCTATCTTTACTGCCATTATTTCATCCTCTAGGAGCTCAAACTGAAGCTCATATCTCTGCATTTTAGCAAAATAAAGTTGCAGAACAAAGTGTTGGCAGATTAACTTTGTACTTTGAGACGTTCTCGTCTGCTGACTCGTGCTGTCTGATAACTATGCTAATCTATTTGGTGGCTATGCTAATATCTTCCTGCATCATTACCATAAGCCTGCTGCTGCTGCTGCTGCTGCTGCAGGTCAGAGCAGGCTCAGGGTCAAACTACACACTTGTGTGTTGCTCAGTGTGCACATCCAGTCAGATCCACGCCCATTCCCTCAGTGATCAGCTGCTGATGCTAATTCCTGCCTCTGATCTCCGTCTGCAGCTCTTAATGAATCTAATCACTAATTACATTAGCGAACCAGGACGCCCTCAGGCTGCTGCTCTGATTGGTGGGCTGAATTCTCAATGAACACGCGGCTTCGTTTACATCCAGACTGCTGTTTCTACACGTGTTTTTAAAGCCTGCATCAGCAGTTATTTAAATCCAGGACGTCAGAGTGAAAGC